CCAAAAAAAAAAACGTTTTCTAAGCAGAAGGGTGGGTTGTAGTCGCGGTGCCTCACCGTTACATCCCTTTCTCGAGTCTTTGGGGCAAACTCAAAGATGACAGGTTTAAGAAGGCCGAAGGCCCGCTACATCATTCGGTCATGTTCTTCAGCAAATCGCGCGACAGAAATGGTCGGGCCGCAGGCCTGATCGTTGCCGCCGGCAGGCCAAGTAGGCCCGGCCCCTGCCGTTTGGCGGAAGGGCCAAAGACCCTCCAGCGCCTAAAGGGTTAGAGATAGAGCAGAATAGGGCCCATAGGGCTCTACTCTGACGAGTTACCCCTGTGGTGACCATCCAATATTTTTGAAATTTACTAAATTTATTTTTAAGCCACTTTTGTGAGAGAAACTCACTCTAGCGCCCAAACGGTGAGAGATAGAGCAAAACGGACGAAATTTTCGCCCCAAGAACTTCACTTCCTCAAGTTACCCGTGAGGAGATCATTTAAGAAATATTTTTCCAACTTTTTGGGCCTTTCCTGTTTTCTTCGATACCCCCTTTCAGCCCCTTAGGGGTGGCTGACAGGATTTGCCGTAGGCGTTTTGTTTTGTGGGAGTGAACCTTGAGATCCCCTGAAAATTTGAAGTCTCTAGTACATCTCCTTCTTGTGGGACAGACAGACGCACAGACACACAGACACACACGAGGTCGTTTGCATAAGCCCGCTGGATAGCTTTTACAAAGCAGAAGGGCGGGCTAAAAACCGCAAAATAGAAAGGAAATTCTCCCCCACCCTCAAAAAACGTTTTCTAAGCAGAAGGTGGGTTGTAGTCGCGGTGCCTCACCGTTACATCCCTTTCTCGAGTCTTAAGGGCAAACTGAAAAACGACGGGTTTAAGCGGGCTGAATGCCCGCTACATCATTCGGTCATGTTCTTCAGCAAATCGCGTGACAGAAATGGTCGGGCCGCAGGCCTGACCATCGCCGCCGGCAGGCCAAGCAGGCCCGGCCCCTGCCGAACGAAGTTGCCGGCGGAGCGAAGCGAAGCGAAACTTCGTTTGGCGGAAGGGCGGGCCTGCTTGTTTACAGTCCGGGCCGAGCCGATACTGCAGCTGCCGCCTGTCGCCCCCACCTCCCAGCGCGCTCGCTCTCCCTCGCACCGCACGCTCGCCCGAAAATAGGGTAAATAAAATGTGAAATATTCAACGTTTAGAAAATACGGAAGGTAGGGTAAGGGGCCCAGTAGTCGACAGTTTAAGAGCAAGGCTTTTCAAAAGTGCCTACAACGGAGCGTGGGTGTACAGTAGCGTCAAGGAAAAATTTCGGGGGTGTTGTGGACGGAATAAACTTAATGCCCCATGTAACGAAGATGGAAATAAATACATTTTTGTACACAAAAATGTATAACAAAAAACAGTGTTCATTGGCCCAGAAGTCGACACCTTTGGCCCAGTAGTCGACACTGCCTGGCCCAG